GTATGTTCTGGTTTAACAAAAATATCTGAGGCTAAGACTGCGATGATTGGATTTCATTTCATGTTTGGTAGTACCTCTATCAATAAAACTAAAACTTGAGTATCAATTTGTTTTGGAAATGGACATTGAAGACAGTTTCAAAATGCATGACGGTGCGGCATCCTCAAAAACGTGCAGCAAAATAGTTCATTTCATCCATGTTCAATGGATTTGAGGTTCGAAAAGCGCACAGCCGCCGCGCCCAGGTCGTTTCGTACTAGGATTCAGAAGTACCGTCAAATCTCGCTAAAAGGAGCAGCTACATGACCAACTTTTTCGAAGAGCGATTTTAAGTTACTTTCAAACTTCTTCGAAGAAAGATAATTGTCAGATGCATGTGCACAGGTGGGCAGTTGAGGGGACACACCAGTGAAAATGCAGACGGTTCGTAAAACAATCATTCTGTGAAAAGTAACGAATTACATTCGATATTTTATTCTCTGCTTGGAATCATATTAAATTAAAAAAAAAAAAAGACTGGTGCAAGAGGTGGTGATGGAAACACTGTGGCAAAAAGCTACGGAAAATTCTGTAAACAGCTTGTGGTAGTTCTCCGGTCAATGTTCTCCGTAGGCTCTTGGGTCATTCCACGCCAAGTCGTCAAGGTTTTGAGGGACGTGTCGGCCGAACCCAGCGGTATTTTCAGGGATTGTTGGCCCTATGGGCCCATTGAAGGCCCGGTACTTTTTCCCCGGAAAGTCGACAGGGGTCTGAGATATCTCAAACTTCATTTTTGGTAAAAGAAATTACCTATCAACCTAAACAAATTTATATCCCGGAAAGTATTTGTCCTTTCTCAAAACCGCTTTTACCGTTGGAAAGAGGAAAAAAAACTGAAAAAGATGGGATTTTTTCCAAAAATTCTTGGAAACTTTTACTTTTTGCACTTTTATAGTGAAATGTTAAAAATTATGCAACTTTTTTGTACCCTGATCAAAAATGGCGTTCTATGGCTCAAAATGTACCTTGATATGTCCTCTAAACGAAAAGATCAACGCCCCAATGTATTTTGTTTAGTTCCGGAGAACGAGCGGTTCTTGTGGACCACTGCAAGGCTACTTTCCCGCTGGAACGGCTCCCACGCCACGCTCGCCTTCTCTGTGTTAGCGGACGTGATCGCCAGGGTTCGGCGACCGTCAGGTAGGATTCCCACCTCACTTTCCAGCCCACTAAGGAAGCGCTGGACCTCAGCGCCTGAAGGGCAAGCAAGGGAGAGACTGGGAAGCACGAAGGGTCACCTACACACACATTTTTGGGGGTTGGCCGCGACTGTGCTCCGCGGTGCGCGTCGCCGCCGGTGGCGGACTGCGGAACTAACGAACTTGGTGGTGTGTGTTGTTTCTAACCATCGCTTGTTTGGATTAGGTGTCAGGCAGAAAGGTTCGGATACTTGCTGAATCTCGCCCTGCGTTTGTTCCTGGCAGTTTGGAGGTGAACTATGTAAGTTCTATAGAAAAGGCATATTTGCAATATTTGCAACGCACCAAACGTGGTTGGCACCCATTTGACCACACTAGTTGGTGCGGTATAGACCACGTCCAGAAACCAAGTGCGTATCCTAACAACTTAAGGGGCTGGCTGCCGGGGCGGGAGAGTGAGTAAATGGGTGGCTCGCAGCCTGCGTGGAACACCGATACTCCCCAGGTACAGCCCTACGGGTCGTCACGGCTCGGCGTGCGCGGACAGCACCAAACGAGTATCGTATGCTTCCTTGAACGTTTCTTGAATGTAGATTTTCGTTTCTCTTCCCAACCCAACCAGCTTTTAGTCACCTTTAACTAGTTTTGTCACTGCTGTCAAAATATTGCAAATATGCCTGTTTGTATTACCTATTTGTGCCAAGACTTGAGCCTTGACCCAAAGCCCTTATATCTGGAGGTCCGACATGAGTCCGGATTGAGCCCCGACCTGAGGCTCGAGTCCGGGCTGAGATCGGGGCCGTATCAAGCTCACGCCGGGGCTCAACTCGGTTTGGGGTAGGGATTCAGGTTGGGTTTCTGGTCACAGGGGTACAAGGATCGTGTCCTCTAAGCCAAACAAATATCAACTATGAAAAACACACCTTCAGTCAAAGTAAAATATTTGGTGTTCAGTTATTCCCCTGCCCATATTTTCTCCGCACTGACCCCTCCGAGAACACTGAACAAGTGCATACTTGAAACATTTTGACAACAGTGACAAAGCCAGTAAAAGATGACTAAAAAGTAGTTGGGTTGGAAAGGGAAACAAAAATCAAACTACGGCAGAGAGCCCGTCGTGAATCTGAACCAGCAAATGAATCAGACTTAAGCCACGCAAAGATATTCTCCAGTGTAGAACTTACATAGTTCACCTCCAAACTGCCAGGAACAAACGCAGGGCGTGATTCAGCAAGTATCCGAACCTTTCTGCCTGACACCTAATCCAAACAAGCGATGGTCAGAAACAACACACACCACCAAGTTCGTTAGTTCCAGAGTCCGCCACCGGCGGCGACGCGCACCGCGGAGCACAGTCGCGGCCAACCCCCAAAAATGTGTGTGTAGGTGACCCTTCGTGCTTCCCAGTCTCTCCCTTGCTTGCCCTTCAGGCGCTGAGGTCCAGCGCTTCCTTAGTGGGCTGGAAAGTGAGGTGGGAATCCTACCTGACGGTCGCCGAACCCTGGCGATCACGTCCGCTAACACAGAGAAGGCGAGCGTGGCGTGGGAGCCGTTCCAGCGGGAAAGTAGCCTTGCAGTGGTCCACAAGAACCGCTCGTTCTCCGGAACTAAACAAAATACATTGGATCGTTGATCTTTTCATTTAGAGGACATATCAAGGTACATTTTGAGCCATAGAACGCCATTTTTGATCAGGGTACAAAAAAGTTGCATAATTTTTAACATTTCACTATAAAAGTGCAAAAAGTAAAAGTTTCCAAGAATTTTTGGAAAAAAATCCCATCTTTTTCAGTTTTTCTTCCTCTTTCCAACGGTATAAGCGGTTTTGAGAAAGGACAAATACTTTCCGAGATATAAATTTGTTTAGGTTGATAGGTAATTTCTTTTACCAAAAATGAAGTTTGAGATATCTCAGACCCCTGTCGACTTTCCGGGGAAAAAAGTACCGGACCTTCAATGGGCCCATAGGGCCAACAATCCCTGAAAATACCGCTGGGTTCGGCCGACACGTCCCTCAAAACCTTGACGACTTGGCGTGGAATGACCCTCTTACAGTATTCTCCGTAGGACCTTACAGTGATCTCCGTAGGACGATACAGTCTTCCAGGTCCAAAGGAAAAGACTGTACGGCCCTACGGAGAAAACTGTAGGAACCTACGAAGAATATTGATAAGAGGGCAACGGAGAATCCTGGCAAAAAAATTAACAGAATTTTCCGTACCTTTTTGCCACAGTGAAGGGGGCTGACCATAAATATCTATTTTCGTCGACATGGTGTCACGCTGCCCAAGATTGCGCCGCTTGGTATTTTGAATTTTGAGGTGGGCTTTGCGGCATTTGACTCGGAATAATAGGTAGAAAAACCTAAAAACACTAAATAAAACGGACCAAACTTTGACGATTTTCACTGGTGTGCCCCCTGCAGGGCATACCTTAAATTCAGGGTTCAAGAAGCTCACAGCAGCAGAAACGCGTGCATTTGCTGCTTTCGCACAGATGACATACTCAATGTTTATGTACTTTTATTATCAATAAATGTTGCCATCCCTATGCAAGGCATGTACCATTTGACGTCCTCGGACGCCTTGTTATAGAATAGTCCTATGCCGCGGATCCAAGACAATCCTAACTGCCGGTGTCGATTCAGAACCATCCTAACTGCACATGGCGTGCATGACGTGCAAACGCGGTCTTAAATTGAAGTACGTGACGCCCACAAACAACATAAAATGACTTGCCGAAGGACTTGTTAAAAATTCTCCGCCTGCTCTGCAAACTGAAGTGTGGACATAGTACACACTTATTAGAGCATGCTTCTAAGTACACTCTTATTTTTACAGTAAACTTGCTAAGTACTCGCTAAAATAGAGTGTACATTGCATGTACACGCTAAATAAGAGTGAACATGGCATGTACACTTAAACTGGGCCATGCTTTTAGATAGGACTAATCGAGTGTATTTTAGTGTGTACTTGCAAGGTACACACTAGAGTGAAAACGTGGACATGAATATTGCGACTCACGTGAGTACTGATTTGCAGTAAAGAGTTATTCGTGACCGGTTTAGCCCCCTCTGCAGTTCTAAATCGGCGTTGACAGTTAGGAATATCTTGGACCGGCTATGGCGTTAGGAGGCGTTGAATCGAATACATTAGGGACAATAGTTCCACGTTGTGTTGTGGGCAAGTATTTATAAAATTGTACATGATTTAAGAACAAATTTGCAGATAACTTACTCGCGCCAATACGGTAACAGTTATGGGCACGAAGTCCATAGCCCTTTTAGCGTGCATGCTTCAATGGCATTCTGTAAAACGACAAGTTGAAACGTTCAAGATAAGACTAATGCCAGCATAACCGAAGTTGTTGCCCCTTGTGACCACTCGCCTTGTCTTGGCGCCCTGCCGGCGCCAGATGCTCCCCTAAAAACGCTCTGCAAACTCAACAGTGTACTCAGTACACTCCAGTTAGAGTGTGCTCATGAGTACACTCTAACTAGCGTGTGCTCGGATGAGTACACTCTAACTAGCGTGTACTCAGATGAGTACACACTTTCAGCTGCATAAATTGCCAGGCGTGCTTAGGTGTGTACTCATCTGAGTACACGCTAATTAGAGTGTACTCATCGGAGTACACGCTGGTTAGAGTGTACTCATGAGCACACTATAACTAGAGGGTATTGAGTACACTGTTGAGTTTGCAGAGCGTGCGGCCGTTGCGTCAAATGACGTGATTAAGTGCAGAAATTCTCGGAACTCGAGGGAACGTGCTTTACAGCGGTCGTGCCGAAAGTTCTGACGCGTCGTTATAAAAGACGAGGCGACGGCGAAGCGAGGGCAGACTGTCCATTCGGCGACACTACGCCGATTGCCTAGCAGCGGTCACCATGAACTCATATCTGCTGCTGGTCTGTCTCCTGCCCATCGCCGTGCTCGCGGGCGGATGGAACCGGAATTGCATCAGGAAGCCCGTCGGATTCGGCTACAGGACGACTGGAGGCCAAGGAGGTGCGTAGCCATGGCCATGCCCTTCCATCCAGCTTCGTCTTTCTGCGTACTAAATGTCACGGGACACTTTGTCTCATGACTTACGCAATTTTAAGAAAATCCCCGACGCTGACACAATTTTGGCCCCGCGCCTGGTACACAGTAAGGTTGTGTCTTGTGAATCCACAAGCATTTCGCCCCCAAACGGCAACTACAAGCATTATTTTGCTTGTAGATGCCGTGCGTCTACCTGCCCCCGTTATACATTGACGAGGATGTGACAGGCTTGTGAATCCGCAAGCATTTGCTTGTGCGTCACCCCGGCCGCCTGTACCTGTGAGGCACGCGGGACAGCGCGGCGGGGAGGGGGGGGGGGAGGGGGAGTGTCCAGCGAGGGCAGCCGCCGGGCGGGCTGGCGGCGGATAGTTGGTGCGGCTGGACCCGTCCTCCCTCACGGGCATCGCTAGTCTAGCGGTAAAGTGTCGGGCCAGTAATCCGCAGGCCTGGGTGGCATATTTTCGCTGGCGCGGCGACGGAGCTGTCACACCCTCATTATCCCTTCCTTTCATCACGGCATTTTTGCTTGTGAATCCACAAGCATAGATGCTTGTGGAGAGAAGTCCGAACACTTGCTTGTAGATCCACAAGACCCGACCTTACTGTGTAGCTTGTCCGGCGCCTACTGCAAATCGTTGTTTCATTTGACAATTTGTCCCGCCTGCCGGCCGAACATATTATTATATCAGCTCTGGATGTGCATAAGATTGCAGCCTGCAAGGGACAAAAAAAAACCATGACAGTAGTTAGTGTGTACGCTCTCAAAACCTTTCTAACTATTACTCAACTTCACAAAAAAGGAGATAGTTATCACAACAAACACTGCAAAGCCAGTGGTAAGTTTACTTGCCACAAATCTGGCAAGCCGTTTTGACTGCCAAAATTTGGCAAGCTAAGATTGCCTTAGAATGGTTTGCATCATTGCACCAAATTATTTGACTTAATTCCTAGCAGTTAAGGCGAAAATCCACTTGGAAAATAGATTTAACTCAACTTGACCCCTTTGACACTCTCACGGCAAAACCAACGTCCGGGTTTCCCAGGCGCACCCTGGAAAAATACCCTGTTTTTCCAGGGTGCGCCTGGGAAACCCGGACGTTGTTTTTGCCGTGCTCAATCTAGCAGAAAACGGAAACAACTCCACCAAAGTCAACATGACTCCCTTGAACGAGGTAACTTAACTTTACTGTAACTCAACAAACGGAATCAAGTAAACGTAACTCCCTTTCATGTATATAACTCTAACGAAAAAAAGCTAAGTCAAAAAAATACCAGAGAAACCAACACTCTCTAGAAATATGAGTTGGGATGACTCTTCTTTTCCACTTCAACGGATTGGTGATAAGTCACAGAAATCCTATACGCAGAGACCTGACACTCCTTATGTTCATCTCAAAATTTAAGTTACGCTTCTTGTTGTTTAGTTTAAGTTTTCCCTCCGAACAGTTTTTTCTTTCTCCTGAAAAATGGTCAAAATGGAGTTATCCCTTTCTTCCGCTTCCTGGATCAATTAATCTTCACTTCGAATCATGTGTGAAAACATTTTTTTCCGGCAAAGAGGTGAGAATTTCTTACCTCTCAAAACGTAGGAGGGACACTCCACTTGAATCCAACGACGGTTTGGAATCGAGGTCCTCGGATTTCGACCTAAGTGGTATCAATCGATTCGATGTCGGCCCCTGACTCACCATGTAAATTTTTTTGAAAAAATTTTGAACGGTTTAGTTTTTGCACCACTTTTATGGTTTTAAAAGTTTAAAAATAGTAAAAACAAAATTCTTTTTCAAAATTTTTTTAAGGTGTTCTTGAGGGTTTAGGAATGTGGGAAAAGCATTAAAAGTTGTTTGAGAACCATCTGGGAGGTTTTAAGGGTAGTAAAAATGGTGAATTTTGGTGAAAATTTGACAAATTTCGCCGTTTTGAAAATACGTCATTATGGATTTTGGCCAAACTTTTTTTTTCTTTTCCTCTACTATTGGTGCATACTCCTTTAAGAGGGTTTGGATGGCCCGCCACAAATTTTCTTTCTGGAGCCTATAACATGTCTAACTGCGGCATATTTTTCCCTTGAATTGACTGTTTTTTTGTCGTTTCTCTCATGCGATTACTTCCCGAGCCAAAAATACGGTCTGAGAAATATTTGTAAATTGTCGGCACCGACCGGAGATCGATAGACTTTGGGCAAATGTTCCGTAGACAAGGCACAGACAATCCGCAGTGAGTCGTCAGGCGATTTACTGGTCAATTTCAAAGACAATCTGCAGACAACCCGTAGGCGATTCGCAAAGCATTGTCAGAGCAGGCTCCCATGATCCTGAGACCCTCCTTAGACCAAATGGTCTACGGATTGCATAAATTCGGACCGAAAACCGTCTGAGGATTGTCTGCGAATGTACCGGGGCGGCAAACTATCCGCAGACATGCCGCCGCCCGCCGCGCCAAAGCAGCCGGATCGTAGAAAAACAAATCCCGGAGGCGCTGGTGGGACTCGACCCACCAACCCTGGCGACAAGATGCCCAGCGCAGTCGTCTGACGTCGGAGCCTACTCGGCCAAAGTGAGGCCGGGGCGTCGGTGCCTACGCTTGGAATCGCACGCTAGAACGTTCGACGCGGACCGTCGACCTCATCATCGTTGTGATCGGCATGTTACGGTACAGTTTTCCTCAATCTATTCACTCGATTTTTCTACATCGAAAGCTTTGTCATAAGAAGAGCGCAGCATTTTCGAGAAGGTAAACGTCTTCGTTCTTAGTATGCGACAGGGATCCTTAACTTAACATTTAACTAACACTACTTTCATAACGTAACATAAGTCAATGTTCGCTAAAGGTTAAGGGTACGGACTTATGAAAGTACTTGCAAAAGTGTATCCACACAAATTCGAGACATAAAAAAATAACCTACCCTTTTGAAAAGATGTTAGAAGTTAAGGGTAATTACTTTAACGCTTATGATTGCTGAGCGAAGCGAAGCACCCTGTTTGGGATTTTGAATAGCTCATTTGTCCGACCCCCCCCTGATACCTTTAGTTTACAAGAGGTATCTTCCTCTGTTTTTTTTTACTATATTCATATGCGTGTACATAGTCCAAGCTCTATAGTCCAAGCTCCATAGTCCAAACTCCATAGTCCAAGCTCCATAGTCCAAGCTCCATAGTCCAAGCTCCATAGTCTAAGCTCCATAGTCCATCCATACTCTATAGTCCAAGCTCAATAGTCCAAGCTCCATAGTCGTACGCCAAGCTTCATAGGCCATTTAGTTTGAGAATAAGATCTGTCGCGAGTAGGGTATGATCTTTCGCGAGTAGAGGAAGATCTGTCACGAGCCCGTTAGGTTAGGTTAGGATTGGTTAGACCATTTAGTTTGAGAATAAGATCGGTCGAGAGTAGGGAAAGATCTGTCTCGAGTAGAGAAAGATCTGTCACGAGCCCGTTAGGTTAGGTTAGGTTTGGTTGGACCATTTAGTTTGAGAATAAAATCTGTCGAGAGAAGGGTAAGATCTGTCACAAGTAGAGTAAGATCTGTCACGAGCCCGTTAGGTTAGGTTAGGATTGGTTGGAACATTTAGTTTTAGATTATTAAATAGCCTTCCGTCGATTCAAGGAGAAACCAACCATTGCCGAATCACAATCCTTCGCGCAAAAGCATACTTCCTGGCTATCACCCCCCAAAAAGAAAAGAGGCTCATTTTCAAAATAAACACATCCAAATTTACTACTGATGAAAATGCATTTCCATCTCCAGCAGAATCCAGCTCAGCATCGAGGCCGAAGGCCTTCCCCTGGCTAGTAACGTTATGATGCCCTTATGAGGTAAGTTAAGGATCCCTGGTATGCGACGGTCTGCGCCGAACGTTCTAGCTGTGCGATACCAAGCGTAGGCACCGACGCCCCGGCCTCACTTTGGCCGAGTAGGCTCCGACGTCAGACGACTGCGCTGGGCATCTTGTCGCCAGGGTTGGTGGGTCGAGTCCCACCAGCGCCTCCGGGATTTGTTTTTCTACGATCCGGCTGCTTTGGCGCGGCGGGCGGCGGCATGTCCGCCCCGGTACATTCGCAGACAATCCTCAGACGGTTTTCGGTCCGAATTTATGCAATCCGTAGACCATTTGGTCTAAGGAGGGTCTCAGGATCATGGGAGCCTGCTCTGACAATGCTTTGCGAATCGCCTACGGGTTGTCTGCAGATTGTCTTTGAAATTGACCAGTAAATCGCCTGACGACTCACTGCGGATTGTCTGTGCCTTGTCTACGGAACATTTGCCCAAAGTCTATCGATCTCCGGTCGGTGCCGACAATTTACAAATATTTCTCAGACCGTATTTTTGGCTCGGGAAGTAATCACATGAGAGAAACGACAAAAAAAACAGTCAATTCAAGGGAAAAATATGCCGCAGTTAGACATGTTATAGGCTCCAGAAAGAAAATTTGTGGCGGGCCATCCAAACCCTCTTAAAGGAGTATGCACCAATAGTAGAGGAAAAGAAAAAAAAAGTTTGGCCAAAATCCATAATGACGTATTTTCAAAACGGCGAAATTTGTCAAATTTTCACCAAAATTCACCATTTTTACTACCCTTAAAACCTCCCAGATGGTTCTCAAACAACTTTTAATGCTTTTCCCACATTCCTAAACCCTCAAGAACACCTTAAAAAAATTTTGAAAAAGAATTTTGTTTTTACTATTTTTAAACTTTTAAAACCATAAAAGTGGTGCAAAAACTAAACCGTTCAAAATTTTTTCAAAAAAATTTACATGGTGAGTCAGGGGCCGATACCGAATCGATTGATACCACTTAGGTCGAAATCCAAGGACCTCGATTCCAAACCGTCGTTGGATTCACGTGGAATGTCCCAGGATACGTAGGAACGTTTTCTCTGACCCCTGGGGTGGATTTATTTCTTACCTTTTCGTCCTAAGTGCACAGGGAAAATTCTTCGTAATTTATTTCATCGAGTAGTTTGTACTTGACATGCTCAAAACGCTTCTTAGTGTTTGAAGTGACGTAATATTTTAAAACTTTCTTTCTGAACCACAGGCAAGACCGTGACTCCCAGGAACATCAACGAACTCAAGAATTACCTGCGCAGCAATCAAAAGCTCATCATCATCCTGGACAGGACCTACGACTTCACGAACTCTGAGGGCTGGGCGACGCAGACTGGGTGCTACTTCCAGAGGTGTGGTCATGGTTTCCAAGAGTCCTTGGCCCACGCTGGTACTTGCAATGGCAGGTCGTCAGCTAGGGTGAGTCCGATGATCCTATCGAGTCGTGCGGGGTACTCTTGTGTCGCGGTAACTTTGTTATGACAATAGGGTAACCTTCGTGGGGCTGCAGCAGAACACCCTAACAACGGACTTTTTTCACCTCCAAAAACGAACTCTAGTTTAGCTCTGGACTGGGCCACCGCAAAGATAAAGTTAAAGGAATTTAACTTATTAAACTAAGAAGCTCCGGTTTCCTTGTTCAGGTGAAATACGCCAAGGCCGGCACCACCGAACTCCTGATCGGCTCCAACAAGTCCATCATCGGCAAGAACGGCAAGGGCGTCATCAAGGGCAAGGGCCTGCGCATCAAGAACGCGCAGAACGTCATTATCCGCGACATCAGCATCACCGACATCAACCCGGAGGTCATCTGGGCCGGGGACGCGCTGGCCTTCGACAACGCGCAGAACGTGTGGGTGAACGGCGTCACCTTCGCGGTAAGGACTGCTGCCTTTCTCCATTCACTAAGAATGACCGGCATCCATTCAGATGCTCACCCAAAGACTAGGCGTTTGGATTGCTGTGGACCCACTTCACCCTTTACTCGGCATCGCATACCTGATTATTAACAGTCCCAATTTCTTGTTAACAACTGCCTTGCAGTCATAATACTAAGCTCATTGGCTGAGCGATAGCGAAGCCTGTTCCTCCAGTGCGGTTGAAAAGTTTTGTCTGTCTGCACTGTGGCAAAAAGGTACGGAAAATCCTGTTAATTTTTTTGCCAGGATTCTCCGTAGCCCTCTTATCAATATTCTCCGTAGGCTCTTACAGTATTCTCCGTAGGGCCGCACAGTATTCTCTGTAAATCCGCACAGTCTTCTCCGTAGGACCTCGAAGGCTGTATAGTCCTACGGAGATCACTGTGCGGTCCTACGGAGAATACTGTGCGGTCCTACAGAAAATACTGTAACAGCCTACGGAGAATATTGATAAGGGGCCTACGGAGAATTACCACAAGCTGTTTACAGAATTTTCCGTAGCTTTTTGCCACAGTGTGTCTGTCTGTGTGTGTGTGCACTACTCCTCCTGAACGGCTCGGCCGATCTTGCTGAGATTTTGCAGGCTCATTAGGTGTGTTCTTGGCTCGGCACACGCGAAATTTCACTATCCTAGCTCAACTGGTTCAGTTTTTATAGCCGAAAAACACCTAAAAAACGGCGAAAAATCGATTTTCTGCAGGTAGATCACTTCTACCTTGAAGAGGGGGGGGTCTGGGGGGCGGAGCCCCCAGCCTCAACAAGTAAAAAAGTTAGGCCAATGGGGGGTCTGGGGGCGGGGCCCCCAGCCTGAGGCACGAAATCAAATGCTGTTTTGACTTCAATCACGCAATTGGTATGCGGATGCCTGGAAAAGAAACCTAGCCTGCCAAAGGCAGGCAAGCGCCGCAGGCCAAGGTAGGTGTAACGCCAGGCGTGGACTGTTGAAACTGGCGCAGCATCGCGAAGCCTGTTACGACAAGACACGGCCCTGGCGTACACCTACCTTGTTTAACAAGGTTAGGCAGGACGAGTTACACTCCCTGTTATGTAATCAACAAGTTTTCGTTTTAAAATTCTGCATTTCTGAGAGTTGCTGGAGTGTACTCAGCTCATTCTGTTCTTCGTGTGCTGTTGAGCTTTTTGACCAGCTTGATATTAGGGAACATTCACAAATTAGTAAGGCCTCGAGGGGGTGGGGGGTCGGCCAATTGTTACTAGGGTCTTATGTGGGGGTGTGGGGGGTCTAAAGCAAGCCTATGTAGGTTTCTGAAACGCGCTGAAATGAGTTAAAAGTGGGAATTCTTTTGTTATGCCATGTTTGCGTTGATTTTATTGTGGCCAAATGCCCTTTTATTGATTTGGGTTATGAACCCATGCTTTGTCAAAAAGCAGTGTCATCTTAAATCAGAAATCTGATTGATTTCTGCCTCCAAAACCGCTGACTTATCTCGTCTTATGCACAAAACCCGTAAAAAACAGAAAAAAAACCGTTATGAGGGTTTTATGGGGATTTTTTGGCGAAAACTTACGTAAATGGGGGTGGTTGCGTCTTGAAAACCTTACTTGCCTTTTACATGGGGTACAGGGGGGTAAAAAACGCCTCAAATCGCCCTTACGTAATTTGTGAATGTTCCCTAAGTCAATGAACGATGAGGTTGCAGGCGTTGCATTCGTCCGCCGCCCAACTTGATTTTATTTCTGTTTACCTGCAGCGAATCGGGCGTCAGCACCTTGTGTCCTATCAGAGTCAAAACAAGGGCATCACAGTGTCGTCGTGCCTCTTCGACGGGACCTCCAAGAACTCGGCCCTGTGCGACGGCGCCCACTACTGGGTGTGGCTCTTCTGGGGCACGCACGACGAGATCACGCTCATCAACAACCACGTGCTCAACACCGCGGGGAGGACCCCACACGCGGGCGGTTGGGGCAGGGCGCAGGTACAGTAGTTTGGTTCCGACACGGCATTAGCAGAGCCTGCACGGTAAAAACGGAACCTGGTTTTCCCAGCAACTCCCTGGAAATCGCCTATGTCTCTACCATAGGCTTCCTGGGAAAACCAGGTTCCGTTTTCACCGTGTGGGATTAACGCTATATTCATAGCGTTTGGATCCTTCTGATGATTGTGAATGTTGGCACGCCTGTCTAACGGTTTGCCGAGCGTCAGGGTTTGCTTGTCGTCGGGGGCTTTACTTCGTACGTTAACGATTCCTAAGTCACGCCGAGACATGACATTATACGTAACAGCGTGACACGCCACTGTGCGGTGCGGCTGTTCGTCGCACGAAACGGTACCTGGGGGTCGATTACGGCGGCGTTTTATTCGGCAGCACTACCGCTCGCGCTCGTGAACACACGGTTGGGTCCGGCCGAAGCTCGGGAGCCAACCAGCGGCGAGCACGGGTCCGACAGAAGATCGCGCATTTTAACTCACGCTCGTAATCGGTTGCAGTGTTTACGTCTGGTTTACAAGGAACGAGGAAGGATTGACATTCGATGTTTTAGCTGCGTCTCGGCGGCATTTAAATTATTACACGCAAAAATTATCATCCGAGGTTCTGAAAGTGTGTATCATTGGTTAAATTACTCGTACAGGGGTTATGGTTCGTTCGCGATGTAAACAAACAGTTTTTGAAACATTTCTACGTTACTAACCGTGGCAGTGCGTTAATTTGAATCCATACTGAGCAATCAATAGTAGTTCTATTATTATAACAGCTCATAAGGGGGTGACAGCTCAAATTTCCTTATTACAAGCCAAATGTTTTTACCACTGCCGATTACGATCGTGAGTTAAAACGCGCGATCTTCTATCGGACCCGTGCTCGCCGCTGGTTGGCTCCCGAGCTTCGGCCGGACCCAACCGTGTGTTCACGAGCGCGAGCGGTAGTGCTGCCGAATAAAACGCCGCCGTAATCGACCCCTTGGTGTCACATAGTGCGGTCGTGCCGGAAATCAGCGTGACTAGTGCGATACGCCACATAGCGGCGTGTCTTTCGAGTAACGTTGAATTTTTCCTAAATTTTTTAGTAATATTTGTGGTTTTTACTTTTTTATTTTCATGAAATTGCCTGAAGTTTAAGCCGTTGTTTTCACATTGAATGCCCTTGTTTCGGCAGGCCAAAAAGTCAACACGCTAAAATCCTTGATGCAATTGTAACAGTTTGTGACCATAAAAATACATAAACGTTAGTAGCTTGGTCCGGGCTCGATTTAGATCTGGGTTTTCGCCTCAAGAGACCTACGCTTGGTTGCCATGTTTGTAACATGAAACACTTTCTCTTTTTCAGCCCTACATCCATTTAATCGGTAATTACATGGACCGCAACCCCCACACTGGCATCGAGCCGAAGACGGGATCGTACATTCTTGCCGAGGGAAATGTTTTCAAATCATACGCAAACGTAAGTATACTGGCGTGCTTGGAAGAGAGGAGAAACTGTGAGGTAACCTTACAAACTATTTTAGGCAGTAGGAAAGAAAACAGTTTGTTTTAACAAAGTCTTTTGAGCGTGCATTAGATTACAAAGAAAATACTTCGTAACGTACGAACTACTTCTTCGTATAACAAAGTAAGTTAGTTTGTCCTCGGTATGCTCAAAATACTTCTGAATGTTAAGCGCGTGAACAGAGGATCTTGTACAGGGGATGACGAGAGACGACATTATTTCCGTTAGTTTAACGTTATTTTCAACGTTTTTTTACGTGCAATAACGCCACGATCTGTTATTTCAACTCAATCGTCCTTGCCTCGTAAATGCTTGACATTTGTTTCGGACGAGTCCTTCTTCTGACGCTTCCGATGCAGAACACTGTAAAAACGGTTATGACTTTTTATTACGAATTTTTTATGAAATTTTATAACATTGATGTGAAAAGTCATAACATTGACCGATTCATAACTTTTTCATAACTCTGTCATAACAAGTCGCTTGTAATGAGTTTTCATAACATAGCTATGATTTTGTTATGAATTTTCATAACACACTCGCCCGCCGCGGCGGGGTGTCATATACCTGCGCCATCCTTCTCCCTCCAACGCACTTGGTGTAGCTCAGTGGTTCACCCTCCGACTCAGAACCACAAGAGATGAGGTTCGAATCCCGGTAGTAGAGCATCGACAAAAGTCAGTTTCGGAATGATTGCGTCCAACCAATGGCATCAAATGGCTACCAGTGACGAAATCATTTGTGTTGTTCATTTCACGTTTTTTCATAACAGCGTTATAACCCTTACAATAGCGAAGAGTTCCGAAATCTAGCCAAGGACTATTCCAAACTTGTCCACCAGCCCCGGACAGTTCCGCTTTCCCTCTGGTTAGGCCCGAATAGAGTCCGGGCCGAATCGGAGTCCGGACCGGACAGTTCCGTTTCTTGGTTTCTGAACCACTCAAAGTCAAGGACTGTCCGAAAGAGTCCCTGCCTAGGTGCAGCTGGCCCGGGCCCGGGCCGAGCCGGGGCGCCCGGACGTCCCGGCAACTGGGTACGCGGAAAACGCCGCTCGCCGGCGTGCCGAAGCAAGCCGAAGGCCCGAAGGGTCGCCGAGGTTACCTGGCGCCCTGGCGGACGCGGCCAGAGATGCAGTTTTCGCCAGTTTTCGGCGCGCTGTTGAGCGAGTCACATCGCACAGCAGCGCATCTGTGATCAGTGAACATAGAGGAACGCGCACAAGTCACAACTACTTTCCACTCGTTACTTTCTCGGAGCGATGTTCAGGCGATTCGCGACTGTTCTAGAAGTAATTTTTGGTGAGGTGTCGTGTACGGCGTTTTCCTAAACATTGATCGAATTTGAGTGCGTTGCTGTACTAAGTGTCCCAAACAAACAACTATCCGCTGGCTGCTGGCTACCGCAAGTGTGTGTGTCTCTCAAACTTGAAGGACGGGCGGTGAGAGGGTGGGAGGTGTATTATTTTATTCGCCTCTCCTCTTTCACCCTCGTCCCCAAGTGTTCCCATCATTTGCAAACAGCTTCAACGAGTTCGCTTGTGCAGGCATGTACTTGCAGGTATGCTACAGTTAGTGCATGATCAAAATTTGTGTGTAATATTCCACTGGAGGCTGTAAATCGCGTCCCTTGCCGTGTCTGACCGGCCACCGTGCCCCGAGCCGAGTCGAGCCGAGCCGCCACGGCAGTGGTGGCTAAAGAGCCAACAGTAAAAGAGGCGCCACGGGCGGCTGTGGTGGGGGGTCTGGTTCAACTGGGGACGCTAGGCGAGCGCTCCGTTTCTCATACCGATGCGCATCTGTCTGTCTAGCAGACGAATTTGAACCGCGGTCCACGGAAAACACTTGTTAGGCTAGGCTTTTAGGCTGCACGTAAAGAGCCGAGCCTACGAACTCTCTCGACGCATCAATAGGTCAAACGCTAAGAAATGGTTGGGTGCTGTGTAGGCAATTGCACCAATTCGTCTGCAAAGGGATTTGGTATGTTCAGATTCCCTAAAGACCCAAAATTCAGAGGGAAATGGACGGATGTTTGTGACCGACCTGGCTGGGCTCCATCCAATCACTCGCGAATGTGTGATGTAAGTTTCCTAAATTTCACTAATTTTGGGATTTTTTGTTTTTGTTGATTATTTTAGTTTCTCTGACCTTCTTTTTACATCGGCAGGCCCACTTTGACGAAAACCAATGGGAGAAGTATAAGGTCAGGCTGAAGTCAGAGGCAGTGCCACACAGATTATGCACTTGTCACCACAGAATCCCTTACAATGTGCATGAAATGTTTGGTGCAATAGCACCAAATGTGGATCACTTGTACGCAGCTAAGCCTCAGCATTTCCGTGATTGCTCGAAAGTTTTGGGCAGAACAGTGCAGCAAGTTCCCAGTCCAGTAGATGTAGTTGAGCATTGTGTTTTGCAGCGGCAGTTGCAAGATTTGACTGCTCGTTTAGCTGCCAAAGAAAATGAGGTGAAAGGGCAGCAAGCCCTTCTGTCATCTGTGTCCAGTTTGAAGAGTGCCTCGGAAGACAACAACATCAAGCCCCATTTTGATTCCGGTGACATCAAGAGCGGCCTTCAACTCAGATTTGCTTGCGGAACATCTGGGTATGAAACGGTACTAAAGAGCCCTGCTTTAATGAAGAAGCAGCCAAGTGTTCGCACATTGCAGAGAAGAACTGAGCATATCGCTTTTGAGCCCGGACTCCAAATAGATATAATCTCTGCTCTTCGGGAAAAAGTGAAAGCACTTCCAGACCAAAGAGACAGAGATTGTAATCTATTTTTTGATGCAATGGCAACCAAGGCTCGGCTTGACTTTGACATTGGGACTAAATCATATTTGGGGCGGTCTACTTTGCCGGGCTTAGAAAACCCTGACTTAGCTTGTAAAGGTGAAATATGGATGTTTGGAGGCATTCGTCAAAAGTGGAAACAAATTGTAGCTTGGCATCTAACTCCCAATCAAGAATGCGCTAAAGTTAAGAAAAATGTGATTTTGGACCTTCTGAAGAAGGCTGACGAAGCTGGTCTGAATGTAGTTTCAATAGTGTGTGACGTGGGAAACCGTTCCCTTTTAGCTGAGTTAGGCTTTTGTACAACCAAAAGCGAAATGAGGTACTGCATACCTAATCCTGTGAAGCCAACTGTTCCACTCTACCTGGTACCCGACGCTGTTCATGTGTTCAAAAGTTTAAAGGAGATGATTGTCTCCAATGAAGTCATTACTCTTCCGGACTACATTGTTGAGGAATTTGATTTGCCATCAAATGAAGTTTGTCTTTCCCACATAGAATATCTTGAAGAATATCAAAGAGGAGAGGACCTGAAATTTGTTCCAAAACTCAAAGTGACCGATATTCATACTCCTCATTATAGTAAAATGAAAGTCAAGTCAGCGTATCAAGTCCTTCACCACAATACTGCCTGTGGCATTGAATACCTAGTTCAGAAGAAGATAGTGCCAGAGTCCCACAGAACAACATCTTGGTTTGTAGAGGTTGTGGACCGTTGGAGGCAGTTGATGACTTCTCGGACCCTTTCAACTGCGTTGGGGAAAATGAATGAAGAAGCCTACAACAAAGCACGGGCTCATCTGAAACTAGTCATTAAAATATTTAAAGACATGAAAGTGGAAGGAGGGTGGAAGCCAGTGCAAACACATCTTGTGATGGCAACAGAATCTATTTTAGAAATCTCAGAGCATTTGTTAGAAGAGTGTGGCTATGATTTTCTTTTTGTGGGCAGATTCCTTCAAGACATTGTTGAAAATTTGTTTTCTGTGATAAGAATGCAGCGCCCCACCCCTGGACCCGTAGAACTGAAGTATCGTCTCAAGCAATGTGCCCTGTCACAATTTAATAAGGAAATTAAGAATTCATCGTATGATTTCGCTGATACTGATGATTTTGTTGACCTGTTGCTGGTGAAAATGAGAGAAAAGCCAGTAGCGACAAAGAAACCTGACCTTGACTTATCATGTATTGTCTGGTGTGAGCAAGTCCCTTTGGACGCATTTGCAGTTGGGCAAGAAGACATACTGTACAGAATGTGTGGTTTTGCTGTTGTGTCCCTTGTTAAGCTTCACATGCTCAAATGTGAATGATGTCTGCAAAAACTAAGGAACAACACGCTGCAGCCACATTCTTCAAGTCTCTTACTGAAGATTATGAACTTCGCAGAAGATGCACAATTTGAGGTGTCTGACGAATTATTTCAGATGCTCAGGCTTGTTGAGTTTAACTTGCGCAAATGGAAGGCGGATTTGGCCTTGTCTTCCGACAGTTTGGAAGTGCTCATAGGTGAGCGCATTATTCCTTCTCTGTCCCAGTAATACCGCCTCAGCACTTGCCATGACATTAAGGACAAAATTTTGAAGAAATTTTCTATGATGAGAATCAAGCAGCTTAGTCAAGTTATTAGTGACTCACTGGTGAGACCCAATGTCATCACTTCCCAGCTCTCAAGTAAGACTGCTGGCTCCAAATTTCTAGCTGACAATTTTAGAATAAAGTCAAAGAAAAATGTCAAGTCAAAGAAGAATGTCAAGTCAAAGAAGGCTGACAAGCTAAAAGAGGCTATCAAGTTGAAGAAGGATGTTAAGTTGGCGAAGGCTGTCTCTCCAAAGAAGGCTGTTAGAGTGTGAATTTGTTTTCTATTTATTCATGTGATTGTGTTATTTTTAAGTATGAACTTGAGTCTTAAATCATTGTATATCTGACAGTAATATTCATTGTATGTAATTTTCTATTGGTCTGTCATTTTTGTTATTTTTTTAAAATTTTTTTTGAAGTATGAACTTGAGTATTATATGATTTCATATATTGCAGTAGTATTGATTATATCTGAGAGAATGAAATGGTTTTGTACATAGCAGTACTATTTAGTATGTTTCCATGACACATTTTCTGAAGGTAAGATGTTTTAAGTACAGAGACAGAATAGTAAAATTAAACCTTTATTTGTCAAGCATGTATACAATCATTTGCATCTTTCATTTTATCCACCTGAAACACACACTCAAAGCAGTGTTTAAGGTTACACACACACCAAGGCATTCATTAAATAGCGCCCCAATAAGTCAGCTTAGCTTGAATAGACACAATCTTTTCTCTTAGCCCAACACGTACTCAAAGTAGTGTTTGAGGTCACACGCAGACCAGGGAAATTAAATAGCGCCCAAAGAAATAAACTTAGCTTTAATAGCGGCAATCTGTTCTCTTAGCTCAGCATTTTATTTACCCCAAACACATACTTAAAGCAGTGTTTGAGGTTACACGCAGACTAAGGCATTCTTTAGGAAGCGCCCAAAGAAATCAACTTAGCTTGAATAGCCGCAATCTGTTCTGTCAGCTCAACATTCCTATCTCTTGCATACTCCATAATTTTGAGCTGCTTCTGATCATCATGCTCATTGTAATACTGTTGCAACAGGCAGCCTTGTTTATGAGAAGACCCGTCACTTGAGTTCAGCTCAACCCCGGATTCGCTCAACCGATCAAAACATAGACAACATGGTAGTGCAGACTTAGTCCTATGGCCCACTAATTTGGCTTCTTTGCTTTGAAATAGCACAACATCTTCACAGTATTTACTGATGCAAAGTTTAAATTTCCTCGGCTCAGCATTGGGCTTCAACGTGCGCTTTGCGAGTCCATTGATCAAATCCAAAATGTTCCTGCCACAAACAACACAGGTTTCAACATAAGTTAAAGTTTCCGTGCACAATTAATAACATACAACATAATAAAATATACCAACTCACAGAACAAATGTGTGACTTAGCAGACATGACAGGTGACACACCACAGTGAGAAGATATAACTTGGGCCCATATCGCCCGCAGCTTCTTGCTTTTGGGGACAGGAATAAAATTGGAACACTGGCGAGCCGAGTTCCGGCAGAAAGGCACACAGCACGTTACCATTTTAAATCGAACCTGCAACACGTTGAATACAAGAAAAACAAACAAAGAATGAGACGTTTAACCTCCCAAGTTCACGTACGAGTTGGCCACAATACATGAAAGAAATCAACCACTGACCTACTGCAAACACTGCCCGCTCCACCGAGTCTCTTCTACCACATAAGCATTCCAAAATGCCTACGGTGTGTTTACTTCGCGATAAAATACTTCGTTTCGCACATTGACTGCAAACGTCCAGCCGCCATCAGCCGCCGTCGCGTCGCCGTCGCACCGTCTTCCACTACGTATGAGAAACGTGGCGGCACGCTGCGAGCCCCAGTTGAACCAAGCCAATCAGAGGCAAGCAAGTCACGTGACCGTGGCGCCTCTTTTACTGTAGGCTCTTTAGTGGTGGCCGCCCAGCCGAGCCAGGTAGGGTGAGCCCAGCCGGCGCTACGGCGGCGCGCTCCCGCGGAAAATCCCCGGCCGGCCGGCCGGAGCAACCTGCGTCCGAAGGGAAAGGGGAAGGGGGGAAGGGAGGGGCGAGGGGCAGCAGGCTGGTGCATTTGTTCGGACTGTCCGTTTTTCGACTAGCGTTGGTACTCAGGACAAGTCCGGAATCTTTCTGACTTTGGTCTTTTTCAATGTTTTTGGGAACTGTCCGAGGGCGGATTTAGGAACTGTCCCGGTCCGACTTTTGGAGCCGTTTCGGACGGTCCGCAAACGGTTGTTTTGGCTGTTTTTCGGACTCCAACATTTTCGTACGGGAAGTTTTCATAACATATGTGTTATGACTTTTTCATAACAATTTCACAACAATGTTATGAAAATAGTTTCATAACATGTTATGAAAATGTTATGACTTTTTTCTTACAGTGAACTTACATCAAAACTCAATTTGCCTCCCCTCTACTGTGAGTGACTCTTTGTTTGGACGGTTCGCAGGTGATCGACCCGAGGGCGAAGGGCGGCCACCTTGCCATGATCAACACCTCGCAGCAGGCGAACGTCTGCAAGAAGTATTTCGGGGAGGCCTGCAAGGTCAACTCCCTGCAGGGCTCCAAGTCCATCACGTGGTTCGAGGAGGGCGTCCTCAAGGCCTTCAGCAAGCTGGACAGGAACGCCATTAACGGTGCGCGCGCCGCGTCCTGCTTGTGAGCGAGATTGCGCTGCCAACAATGAGTGTCCGCTCCGGAACCGGTGCCAGGAAAGTTTTCGGTTATCAAATTTCATTTGTGTTGAACACAGAATTGCATTTAGTTTCGTTATTGGTACTTGTATTGGCGCAATAAACTTTGCACTACCAAACATGGATCTGTGTTCCTCGGAAGCCTTTCGCTCGCACGAAGTATTTGCAGATGGAAATGTTGAAGTTCAATCACCACATCGTGGGTTAGCGCAGTCTGTTATGGAGGTGCACTCAGGACTGACAGGCGGCGCACACTGCGCACACGCATGTGACACGGTTGACTTTTGTTGCCGCTGAGCCAAGAAAGTGTGTGAGTTCATTGAACATAGTGGTATGTACGTACAGTAGTAATACTACGGCAGTACTAGGGGAACAATACTATATTACTACGTCATTACAGTACTAAACTACTATTGTATGTAGTTCTGTTGTACTCGTTTGTACTCAACGCGTGCGCCAGATTGGCACTTTTCACCAGGGCCTGTCCAGTAGCACCGCAAACATGCGTGCGGACGTACACGAGTGATATTCACAGTGCTACTGGCAAGGGGGGCTGACTCCCATAATACTTTGTAAAGCCTAATACAAGAATAATACCTATAACATCTATAAAACTATAATCTATAATACCATGAAAATCAGCTTTTGTGGTGCAGTTTTCTTTTTTAGCTTTAAAATGACAGAGTTTTGCAATTGTAGATGAAGGAAGTTCAGGGTTGTTAAATGGAGAAGGAGTACCAAAACAGCGCTAAAATAGTTGACGGGGAGCCCTTAATAACTCACTTGCACATTTTATAAATTATTTTTCCATATGGAAAACCACGAAATACGACACAAATATCGACATACAATATCCGAAATAATACCTACAATAACTCCAAAGTACCTATAACATAATACTTCGTACGCGGTTCAGGAGTTGGGCACGTGTCGCTCGTAGCGTTATCTGGCCGCGAGGCCACAAGAAACTGGCACGTCCGCAAGAAAACGGCAACGGGTGTGACTTCGCGTGGAGAGAGATTTGCAGTGTCGGCGCTCTGCGCGGCATGCTGTCTGAGGTCATTTAAGGTCAATTGGCGTATGAGGCGCATTAGCGCGACATTCCTGGCCCCAACCAGTCTTGCGCTGACTGCCGTGGAGTGCGGCAGTGGTCCCCTTGGCCGTCGCGACACGTGCCGTGGAATTCGCGTCGCAACGATGGCGGATGGATACGCCAACGACAATTTCCAAGGTCAGTATTGATTCACTGGGGGACATTCCCAAAAGTGCAGCGTGGATGCTAAAATGGTGCCCCCTTCTTGTTGATGATTTTTGTTTGTCGGGAGATTAGAAAAGGAGGGAGGAGGAGGGAATCAGTGTTCTGGGATAGGCCGGCACTCGGCCGGTCTCACGCGCGCTAAATGTTCATGTACAATTTTGTACTTGGTGATGCATGATTTTAAACCTGTGAACCGTTGCGCATAAATTTGTGCATTTTAAGGGGGGCGTAAAGTGAAATTTCGATTTTTTTCATGTTTTTTCAGCCGTTTTTTCTCACATATTGGTCTCCCTGACATGAAAATGGACATCACCATTGGATTCTCCATAACTTTTTACCATTTTACCATCTTTGGTTGCGCGTCTGGTGGCACTTTTTGAATTTTCGCAAACATTTTAGATTTGGTCCACTTTTGGGTTTTAATCCTTGCGCGCAGGATTTCAAATCCAAATGTTGTCCTAAAAAATCTGACGAAGTTGCAAAAATTTTTTATGGTCAAAATGAAGAAGACAAGGGAGCCGGATTTCAAAAACACGTTTTCTTTCGGTCTTAATCTTGAAAACTAGAATCATGACTGTTTTTATGCCGCTTTTGGACATTCATTGACCTGTAACTAAGATTGAGACACATTTTTGACAAAAACTCTCCCTTCTCTTCTAGCTATTTGAACACTGATCATTTTAAGCTATCGCACAACATTCTACCTCTTATGGTCTCCGAGATACTATCCTGCGCGCAAGGTCCAAAAAAATGTTACCGAAAAAAAACCGGTTTAAAGTTGGAGGGCCTAACCTAACCTCACAGTGATTATACGAATTAAAAGCTCCCTATGCCGATTTGACGGTGCTGTGGGTCGAAATATGGTCAGGTTTGGTTGTACCAGGGCCCAAAGAGTCGAAAGAAAGCAAAAACCGAAAATCGATTTTCTTCACTTTACCCCCCCCCCTTAAGGGGGCAGTAGCGTCTTTTGCACGTGTTATGACGATTTTCGAACCTCCTGTTTAGACGTTAATATAAAGATAAGTATGAATGCCAGAGACAAACGGCAGGCACCATTTGAAAGATAAAAGTTTTTACAACATTTTCAAAAAAAAATATTTTGTTTTAGCATTGAATTAGGATGTTTTGTGTTCTATGCAAAAATGGTCTGCAAAATTACATGGTGTCACTGCGCGCACGATTGCAGCCAAAGTTTTTTAACTTTTTACCAATCGGTAAAATGCATCTGAAAAAGCATGAAATTGCCCATAAAATGACCCTTGGGTTTTAATATTGGGCCAGAAAAAATGTGGTTCGTTTCCATCTTAAGTTGAAGATGAGCGTTTCAATAGTTTTTCTTGCCCAATATTGAAACCCAAGGGTCATTTTATGGGCAATTTCATGCTTTTTCAGATGCATTTTACCGATTGGTAAAAAGTTAAAAACTGTGGCTGCAATCGTGCGCGCAGTGAAACCATGTAATTTTGCAGACCATTTTTGCATATAACACAAAACATCCTAATTCAATGCTAAAACAAAATATTTTTTTTTGAAAATGTTGTAAAAACTTTTATCTTTCAAATGGTGCCTGCCGTTTGTCTCTGGCATTCATACTTATCTTTATATTAACGTCTAAACAGGAGGTTCGAAAATCGTCAAAACACGTACAAATGACGCTACTGCCCCCTTAAGCGCAATATTATGCTACTTCCACGTATGCAGAAAATCGTGCAAGCTACACGTACAATATCCTACCTAAACATTTGCTGTGCTCGTCAGTGCGGCGGTCCTCGGCTGAAGCAGTAGTCACGCTAGCGAGAAGAGCGGTCTCCACCAACGCAGCTGCAAACCCCTGGCCGGCCCATATCAGAAGTCTTGAGGGAAACCAAAATCAAGACATCAGTGTATCTCGTTTTCATTTCAGCCGAACCTGGTTACAACCTGCGAATTTTGGTGGAACCACAGCCTTTCTACCGATTGAGGTATGCAACAGAAATGAAGAGTTTTCATGGGGCTCTGAAAGGTTCCGGTGCTCCATATCCTATGGTTAAGGTGCGTAATTTATTTGCAATGCTACCTTACAGAGTTCGGTGTGAAACTTAAAAACGACTATGTGGGTTCCAGCTCGAACAGACTCATCTGATGGAAGAGACTGAAACTTTCATTCGGGTTTCTGTGTTTACTGCCTCGGGTGAACCTCATGTTCATCAAATTGCCCTGAAAGGACCAGGCGCAACTGCTTGGCGGCTCGGAAAGCATGCAGACATTAGTGTGTCTTCTCAGAATAACTTCCAGGCACAGTGAGTACACGGGAGTCCCGTGGCGGACGTGAGCGCTGCCGGCCGCCGGGCGGGGCCGCTCCCGTATATGTGTCGTTTGAGGTGGTATAAAGTCGGTCCCGGCGGCTGATTTCGGTACCATCCGACGCGTGTCGTAGCAGTGATTGTGTGTGCGTGTTCGTGTGCCGATCGGTGGTGTTTTGTGGCCGTTGTGGGCATTTTTCGTCCCGCCACGTGCTTCCTTTGTTCGCTGCGGGTCTGCGCGTGCGATAAGCACGTTGTGACGCGCCTGCGTGCCCCGCGGAGTGAGGTTATGCGGCCCTCGGCCCTCGGTCTGCCCGCGTCACGATGGACCCTGGGGCCCCGCAGCTCCTTCCTTGGTGTCATCGCCGTGGATCCTCCTACAGCCCCCGCTTCTCCTGCACCGACATTCGGCGGAATTCCAGGTGACTCTGCGTCGTCCGGTGGGGCCTGCGGGCCGAGGGGCTAGGGGGGTCTAGTGGGGCCGGGTGCTCCCCGCCCGTTGTCTGCAGGTGCAGGGCCTTGCTTTGGCCGCTGCTGTTGTGTTTGCCTTGTCTAGTTTTAGTCAAACTGCTCCAGGAAATGGGACGCGCGGCGTGGTAAGACGGGCTGGTGTTGCCTGGGCTGGGTGACGCGGTGGTGGCTCGTCAAAGGGCCTCCCCCTGTCCTCTGGCTTTGGCCGGCCGCCCGGCCTTGCCCTGCTGGCGCGCCATAGGCCGGACAGTTTTCACCCATTTTTTCCAGCTTTTCCTTTTCAGGTTTTTTACAGCATTCTCTTGCAGCCTCGTCGATTTGATAACAGCGCATTTTGCCGTCTACCGTCACGATCTTTCAAGGCTTCCCTTCGTCTGGTTTTTCTAATTCCCAGCCAGAAGCATTCGTCTCGTCCTTGGTTCGCGGCCCGGTGGCGTCGCGACGCGGCTGTGATACGCGGCTCTGCTGAGACAGCGGCCGGATGGAGGCGTCGGCTTGGCGGGCCCGCGTGGTCCTTTGGTTCCAGTCGGTGTCGTCGCGGCGCAACTGCGATAAGCGGTACTGCTGAGGCAGCGGCAGGCGGGATCCGCGGCGAGGCGCGCGGACGGCCGGACGGACTGTGGCCGCGCTGCGAGACTGACGTCACACGGCCCTTTGCTGCTTTTCTTTTGCCGACATCGCCGCGCTACTGTTTCAAGTGAAGTCGCCGCCGCTGGGGAACAACTAAAAACGCAACAGCAAACCAATTGCTAGGAATGACGGAAGCTTGTCATTGGACCGTTTGGCAGCAGGGACGCCCTCGTACATTGCTCCAATTTCCGCGGTACTGCCTCCAATGCGGGGACACAGGACCTTTACCACGCACCTGATGCGTTTGCGTCGGCTTGCCTCGCATGCCATGCGCTCCGTACGTCCGCTCCCACGCGGATGCAGGAGAGGAGCAAAGGGTTTTTCGCCTCCGTCACGGCACCGATAGTCGCCAGAACAATAGGCACAGGCCACATTTTGCCCCTGTACACAGGCACCAACCTCCTCTGCTCCACCCAAAGGCCGCCTCTGGATCCGCCACTGTCCACCATCGTCCAGGCCGTCACCCTACGCATCATTCTGCCACTTCCAGAAGCTGCGACAGTGAGCACTGCTCCGCCCTGTAGGCCTCCATGCAGGCCGTTGGAGTCCCGGAGTCGTCCACCGATTTGATCTAGCTGTCTCAGGGTGCTCCGTTCTGCACCGTGCGAGACTGCAAAGGAGTTCACTATCTGCGCTGCGGGACCCACCCTATCTCCGTTTCGGGCTGCTCACGAACTTCCAGGAGGCCCTCTCCACTGGTTGTACTTGTCCGAGACGCGTATGCGCGCTGCGGTGCGGCTTTCCCAGACGTCGTTGTGGTGTGTCTGCAGTACCCCATCGCCCTCCATGGCACCTTCGTCGGCGCGGGTACCGTCGCGTTCCGGAGTGGTCCCTCTTTCAGGCTCTTGGCTGTGTGGCAGTGCCGGTTCGGAGCTCCCTGGCGTGCTGCAGATGTTTCAGGTCCCCTGCGGACCCGACCGGGGACAATCAAGCCTCCACTGCTCTTCTCCTCTACCGTGTCTCTGCCGCCATCCGCGAAGCTTCCCGTGATCGGCCGTGCACTCACCTCCTGGGCCAACGTCAACGGGACGCGGAGTCGTGCGGGGCCGCCGGCTGGAGGGATACTTCCTCTGAAAGAGACTCGTGGACAACGGCGCCGCTTCATCAGCTTCAGCAGCCCCGCCTCAGTGCAGTTCGTCGCATCTGCGGCGCCGTCCCGCAATGAAGAGGTTCGACAACTACGTGAGGAGCAGGACTGGCGCCATGCTACACCGCAATGCATCCTCCACTGTCTCCACAACACTCAAGGGTCCAAAGGCAACGAACCTCACTTTCCTCAACCTGGGATGGGTCATACTTCCACGGAGGTTGCCCCATACCCCCCCAGTAGAGGGTGGCTGCCTCAGACAAGACACAGCCTGCATTTGAGGTTTGCAGTCTGAGTTCTGTGTTTGTTGTAGTTGCTTACTCGAACGCTAAAGGTCTGCTGAGGCCTAACAGCGCCGATGACGATGACAGTGAGTACACCATCAACCTACACGAATATAGTGTCTTTTCTTTCTTCCCCTCAGATTTGACCCAATGCCATTGTGTGAACCTATGCTTGCGCTAACATTATAACAAGTTCAATTTCGAAACTAACGAGTGAAATAAATTGTATTTGTCAAGCAGAGCAAGCGTATGTATGAGTGCATTGTTCTCCGAGGAACGCATATCTCAACAAAAATGCTGCTCATTTGATGCCATCGACCAACAAATAAATGATGACTACGATTGGATTGCTGTCAATTTGGACATACCTAATACCTAATAATGACATGTTCTCATGGGTTAACAATTGCAGATTTAAGAACTTGGTCATTATTCGAAGATCTCAATCCGAATGGATAAAGGATGAAGTCACGAGGCAAAAGAAAGAATGTATGAACACATACCCGCCAATTGCCGAGGAAAAGCTTACAGACTGGGCACGACAGACGTGGAAGAGACTGGAACAAGAGCAATTTAAATTGGGTTTTTATGCCTTCAACCGTGGCTGCCCAGACGTTCTGCTTTGTGGGCCTCTATTTTCAAGAGTGATTTCTAATCAAGGTTAGTTTCAATTAAAACTTGAACTGGCCTTCTCTGCTAGGTTCAGCACTCCTGGAGTGAAGGAAACTTGCAGTCTGCAAGTAGGCAAAAAGTGCAACGTGCCGCCACCCCTGAAAGAAATTCCATGAGCCGCTCCTGCTGATATGCCATTATGATTAAATTATTGTTCGCTCTGAAATGTAAGGTATTTTTCTGCTTCAGGGGCGCTAAAAATTACCAGAGTGTCAGCCCGCTCTGGAAAACGTGGAGATGAACTGATCCTTCTTGTTTCGAAAATAGCATAAAAAAGTAAGTAGTTTGACTAAAGTCCCATCCTTGTTCCTTAACCCTCGTCTATCTCTTTTATTATGCAAATTTAGAGTGAAAAACGGTTGTGGTTATTGAGTGAGTCTTTTCGTCATTCATTTCAAACTTCCATTCATGGATGCGGAACATGTTTCAGCCCAGGTGAGGGTTCGCTTCTTTGAGGGTGATCCAAACCAACCATCATGGGAAAACTATGCAGAGGAAGTTGACCGTCATCAACAAGCGGCACTTGTTGTATCGTAAGAAAGAGATATTGTCCTGTTGCGCTGCATTTAGAATAGGTGATCATAACTTAACCCGTTCGATTTATTCCCTCTAGAGTGCCACCATACAGAGAAGATATTGAAGCTGAAGTTCAGATACAATTAGAAACGACTAATAGTGATGGGTCCGTAATCAGAAGTGAGGCAGAAAATTTCTCATATAGGCCACTGAGACCCTCTGGTAAGATCTTTTTCAGTATAACAAGGAAAATTCCCCGAGACAGATGACCTCATGGCATTGACTTTTACCTGATAATCTAATTGTAATTTTCAGAGAAAAGGTGGCTCCCGATTCCTGCAAACTCCAGCAGTCCTGCGAACCAAAAAAGATCAAGGACAACTAGTAATAATAGGCCGCATGAAAAAACATTGTTTTGGCTTGCACGTGTTTTTCTTTTTTTTTAGATAATAATTCACCAAATTTGAGCGCTCTCCGGCAACGCTCACTCAGCCCGCACAGCGCTTTTGTATCTGCGGGCAGAAATGCAATCCGCACGACGCCGGAGTGGAGAGCGGCTCGGCACGGTCCGGCAGTATGGGGGAAGCTGCCCCAGAAGCGCCGATACAGCCGGACCGTGGCAGCTGCCCAGCCGTCCCCCCTCCACCGCTCCGGTGCCTTCCCGCATCGGATGCAAATGTGGTTCGAGCACTCGTTCGAACGTTATCGCCTGGATCGGGGTGTTGCAGGTGGGGTAATTGGACAAAATTTGGGGTGTGGCTGGCCTTAGGGCAGATGAAGATTTGCGCCGAGTCACCTCAGCGGTACCTTGCGTTATTTTCTTAGGGCGGCCAAAACTGCATTTTCGTCTCTTTATCGCGGCGCAACGCGGGGTTGTCTAGAGACGCATATTAACGTGCCGCATGTTTAACAGACACCCCAAGGTGAAGACACCCCACGGCCCCCGGCCCGACTCAGGCCCGAACCCCCGCGCGCCGCGCGCACCAGTAGGGCCCGCCAGGGGCGCAAAGGTGCCCGCCGTGCGGTCTGGGTTGCATCCCTGCCCCCCGTTCCAAAAGCGCTGTGCAGGCCGGGTTAGCGTTGTGGGAAGTTGCCAAAATTGTGGGTCCTTTTGGCTCCTAAAAAAATGAAAAAAATATCTCGTTCTAAATTTTTTTTAGTATTTTTCCTGTATTCTAGGGGTCATTCTAAACGCATTTCCGAAGGAGGCCAGGATTTTCTCGCACTTTGATTTTTCCCCTATACTTTACATGGGGGAATGGCACGGAAGTTACTGAAAATGTGCATGGCACGGAAGTTACATCATCAAACAAACCGTGAAAACGGACCAACCCATTCACCAAATCGAACAGGTGTCTCGCCTAAAGTTTAAGAGACGTGAAAGCGCAAAATGGCCAGGCGGACCGAAATCGATAGGCCGTGTAGAAAGCTTGCTATTGATGACACGGAATGTTACACACAAACCTGACACATGCCGGATTTTCACCTTTGATGGTCCAGCCAGCCGGAATGGAGCCCTCCAGCGAAAATCCGCCTACCGCGCCGGAAAGAGGAAACCACGCTGCTTATTCTGGACGCTAAGCCAAACTTTTCTCGCTACAGGTTCGGCGGTGAGGCGCGAAACTAAAGTTGACGATGTTTGAAAACCAGTACACGGTGGACATTTTTTCATCCAATAAAGCAGCAGGTGTGAATCACTGGAATAAATTGCTATCCAAGGGTGTCATAAAAGATTGCCAACGGAACAAAAGGCTGTTCGCGGATTTGCTCTCCGACAAATAGTTCAGGAGATTTTCGCCCTGGAACACGGACTTTTTGGACAATGGACAGCACGGAAGTTACATTTTGCCTAGTTTTAGCATGTTTTGACAGGGAAATGCTTGAACTGCATGCTCGGTTAGTGTGTGGGATAGCAGGGCAGATAAAGCCCAGTCATAGGAATCAAACCGCAGGTCGATACGTTGAAAAATAAGGAAACTGTGGCCCAAAGACACAAAAGGACCCACAATTTTGGCAACTTCCCTTGTCTGAGAGCGCTCATGTATTTGGTGGATAGTCGTAGTAGGACCTGATCTTTCAAAATTACCCCGTTCGAGTAGAAAACATTTTTTTTTTGCTGCGGCCTAATGCATGCCTGCATTTTTTTTACTTTACACTTTAACAGCGTAAGGAATTGAATACCATTCGTTACTCCAGGTGGCAGTTTATCTGAAGACAACATACCGTTTCAAAGATGGGGACAGCATTTGAGTATGGGGCACTCCTCTGATAGTGTGAACTGGCAAAATCAAGGTGCGTAATAAATACCTAGTACAAAGATTTATTCCTAATAGAAAAAAGCAAAGAGGACATCATAAACGATCCAGGAAGCGGAAGAAGTGAATAACTTGACTTGCCTTACCTTCAAATTGAGTTTATATTCTTTTATAGTACCGTAGAATGGTTTACATTACTACCCCGATTATTTGACTCAATTCCGTTCAATTCCTAGCAGTTATGGAGAAAATACACATAGAAGAAGGACATGAATCAATTTGACCCCTTTTACGCTCTCAATTTTGGGGAAAATGGAAAGAGCTCAGTCTAAAATTCATGATTCCGTTAAAAATATTGTGAATAGGAGATAACTCGAGTTTTAATGAATCTGTTGTAAAACAGAATTAGATCAACTTATTTTTTCTTCATTTTAATCACTTCAGTGGAAGAAAAGAGACAAGTCCAAAAGATACAGCAGAGTAACAAATACTTATTTATTCTGACTAAAGTTCCACGCGACTTGTCTCCCAATTTCACTTCGTGTAGGAAATATAAGTTGAGATGGCTCTGTTTTCGATTTTAACGAAAGTGATAAGTCACAGAAATCCTGCACGGAGCGACTCGACACTTTCGATGTTTATCTCAAAATTTTTCTTATGATTCTTGAACTTGTTGTGATCTATGACATCCAATCGTTTAGTTTTAGTTTTCCCTGCTACACGTTTTTTCTTTCTCCGGAAAAATGACCAAAATACAGTTATTCACTTCGCTTCCTGGAACAAATTGAAGATAAAGTAAAATATGTGGATAAGACCCCTACATCTTCCTGTTTTGCTACTAGCTCCCAATCTGCAAAGGCCCCCAGTTGAAGAAAGGAGCTCATCACAGAATGCGCACTATTTGGATGACATGAATCTAAGTGATTTTCCAGGTTCGTGACAAAAAACATCTGACTCATAAACCTTTGAGCGCCTTAGGGGCATTTCATGCCAGTTCAGTCGTTATCACAATTTTGATGCCTAGGATTTTGACGAAACTTTGTGGGTGTGTTCCTTATGCAGCAAAGAGCTTCTGCAAAAAAAAAATCAACTTTTTTGGTCGTCCTAAATTTTTTTTAACACGCAGTTTGTGAAAAACCCTGAAACATTCACCAAAACTTAGTTTTGTTGCCCGAGGGTGACGCACCCACCTGGTGGATTTCCTTTTTTTTTCATCACACTGAAAAAAGTCCCCAAGAGCCACTTCACAAGTGATTTTTTTCGGGAGATATAGCTAAAAAAATCGTTTTTCGTGAATACCCAAAAAATGCATCCGAGTTTCTCGATGAAAATTTTTTGGCCCGTCCCGTTTATTTTTTTGTAAAAACAAAATGACGGAGGGACGGGCATGTAGTATGATGCATGCTGTGCGTGGGTATTTGCGAAAAGCGAATTTTTCGAGCTATATGTCCCGAAACGAATAACTTAAGAAGGGGCTCTCGGAGACTTTTTTTTTTCAGTATGATGAAAAGAAAGGGAATCCACCGGGTAGGTCACTTTCGGGCAACAAACAAATTTTTGAAGCTATTTGCTACATAGGGAACACAGACACAAAGTTTCGTCAAAATCCGAGACATCAAAATTGGGGTCCCGGATGAACTGCCATGGAATGATCTTAAATCAACCTGATCAATCTTGGTTTTCTTTTTCTTCAAGGTTTTTACAATGTTGGTGCGAACAGTAAAGCTGTTTTCTTTTTTGTCCCATTTTTTCGCGAATTGTCTTACCGGATAGGATTCTTATTATGGATCGCTTATCTCATCTTATGGTGTTGGATCAGCCCATCGGAACTTGCCAAAGACAAGGTACAGAACCTTACCCAAAACAGCTACTCTACAAACTGAAGTGTGTACTCAGTATGCGTCCGTCGACGCAAACTTGCAAGTACACACCTACAGATGCATACTTATATCAGTGCACATCTACAGATGCATACTCAGCTGAGTACACGTCTACAGATGCATACTTGGCTGAGTACACACCTACAAATGAATACCTAACTCACCCTAGTATGCATCCGCAGATGTGTACTCAGCTGAGAATGCATCTGTAGATGTGTACTTGTGAGTATGCGTCTCCAGACAGACGCATACTGAGTACACACTTCAGTTTGTAGAGTACTTGCAGATAATCTCATCTTCAGTGAAGGTATTACGATTTTTGGTGTGATTCCTAGAGCTGCTCATCTGCCGCTGCAAAACATGCGATCCCCAGCCTTTTCGAAGTTGCAAAGACTGGCGATGCAGGGGAATTGCAAAAAATTTTAAAACGCATGACAGAGACGGAAAAGTTGAAATTGATAAATGGGAGAAATGAACAAGGGCAGGTGAGAGTTTGCATATGGAACTTAACTTCTGGGTTCACCCATGGGGCGGCAACGGCCTCGGGAGCTCGCGAAGCCATGCTCCCCGCATTGATAGTGGGGACGAACTTGGTTCGGGATTACTGAAACTAAACCGGTATTTAAAAACGCTTTGCACAGATCGAAAGAGCATCATATGAAGCGTCTCTTACACTAGTTGCCTATGCCGCGACTGTCACCTCAGCTCACAATAAATCGAAGTAAAAACACCTAAAAATGCATTAAACGATACATTTGAAGAAAAACCAAGAAAAACCTCGGTTGCACTATCTGTGTGAAAACATTTCCTCTCTTGTTCGGGGGAAAGCCAATGGCCCAAAGGAATTGATATATTATGCTTTTTCGATCTGTGCAAAGCGATTTACTAATAGCGATTCGGCCTAGTCTTGAAGAAGTTCAAAACCTTCGCAGTTTCGGGGAGCATGGCTTCAGACGGTCCGGAGACCGTTAATTCTCCCTGGTTCACCTCTCACTTTTATGCACCATCTTTTTTAGACACCCCTCAATATTGCTGTTCGGCGAAATAACTTTCAATGTGTCAAGCTTCTTTGCTCAGCAGGGGCAAATGTTAATTTAGCAGACAAGGAAGGGAACACACCCTACCACATTGCAGCAAAGAGAGACCATACAGATTGCTTAGAAACACTACTTAAAGTTGAGGACAGAGAACTTGACAAGAAAAATTTTGAAGGTATGCAAAAGAAAGAGATGAAATTAAGTTGATGGCGTAGAAACCATTCACAAACATTATTTTTCTCTTAAGGTGATGCAGCTCTTCATTTGGCAGTGCGGTGCAACAGCGTTGAAAGTGCAGAGATGCTCATAAGAGCAGGAGCCAATGTTAATAAGAAAAATGACACTGCTGGATCGACCCCACTACATTTAGCTGTTCTATTTGACAACAGACAACTAGTTAACCACTTGTTGATACAGGTCCGTTTCATTGTATTGTATTTAAGGGGGCAATACACAGAAAATGGCCAACAATTGACTTGCGATTGATTCCATACGCGTAGTTCTACGTTGTTAAAACTTTTCACGTGTTACGACCTTACAAAAAGAAGCCTTTTGAGCCCAGAACGGCGTCGGTCGGACGTCAGGGCGGGGAGCAGCTGATAATCAAATTTTCGCCTAAAATCGAACTGGTGGGAGTCCCTCAGTCCGTAAAAATGAAGATATCTCAACTCCGTTGGCGCCAAAATGTAGGTAATTGAAGCGGCTATCGCATGAACTACAACCATGAACATCAAGCTATCGAAAGTACAAAATTTTGCGAAAAGAAACCTGTTCTCTAGTTAGAGTGTGCTCATGAGTACACTCTTACTAGCGTGTACTCAGATGAGTACACACCTAAGCACGCCTGGGAATTTATGCAGCTGAAAGTGTGTACTCATCTGAGTACACGCTAGTTAGAGTGTACTCATCTGAGAACACGCTAGTTACAGAGTGTACTCATCTGAGAACACGCTAGTTACAGAGTGTACTCATCTGAGTACACGCTAGTTAGAGTGTACTCATCTGAGTACACGCTAGTTAGAGTGTGCTCATCTGAGTACACGCTAGTTAGAGTGTACTCATCTGAGTACACGCTAGTTAGAGTGTACTCATCTGAGTACACTGTTGAGTTTGCGGAGCGTTTCTGCAAAATCCTCAAAAATTGTTTTTGGATGAAATTTTGTATTTTCGATAGCTTGATGTTCATGGTTGTAGTTCACGCGGTGGCCGCTTCAATTACCTACATTTTGGGGCAAACGGCGTTGAGATATCTCCATTTTTGCGGACTGAGGAACCAGTTCCATATTTGACGAAAATTTAATTGGCAGCTGCTCCCCTCCCTAACGTCCGATCGACGCCGTTCGGGGCTCAAAATGCATCTATTCGTAAGGTCATGACACAAACAAAGTTTCAACAACGTAGAACAACGCGTATGGAAGCAATCGCACAAGTCAGTTTTTGGCAATTTTCAGTGTATTTAATGTGTAAATATCTCAGGTAGAACATTAAGTGACTGTCATATCATTCGGTGTACACTTTCATCCTAGGAACGTTGAAACGAATGTGACAAAATGCCACATTGTCAAAATGTCTCATTCGTTTGACCATTGTGTCACATTCGTTTCAACGTGAATAAGCTGAATTATGGCTGATTCGCGTCCAAACGAATGAGACACAATGGTCAAACGAACGTGATATTTAGTAACATTCATTTGAACGTGATGTCACGTTCCTGGGATGAGAGCGTAGGCTCTATTTAGCTGGTTTTTATTGACATTTTGTTTGAAAATGACTACCTGACCATTTTACTGTGACTTCTTGTCCTGCATGAAATACATCGTCAACAATTTCTCTGCAGAAAAATATCAAGATTCATGAAGTGAACTACGAGAGCAAAACAGCTGCTGCGTTAGTAAAAGCTGATCAAAAAGACATTTCCTATTTATTCAAAGAGGTAAATAAAGCTCAGTTTCGAATTAAAAGATCCCCATTAACCATAAACTTGCCCAATGGAGCTCGCAAGCTTCATTTTGATTTAAGTGAGTATTCTCAACGCCTCATATTTTGTTTTAGCTGCAGAGTAGGACAGTGACGAGGAGAAGAAGTAAAGAGATGAAGATGAATCAAACATGGATGATTAACAAGAACTTGCATGAGTTTCTTAAGCATGATTGAATTCCATTCATTCATTCAAACCTTTCTTTGCAAAGCGTCATTTACATTTAGTCGTTAGTGATTATCTCATGCTAACGTGTAGTAATATTTAATACGTATTATTAAATATAGGTATTATTAAATATATGTATTAAATTTGTATTATTGTTATAGTGTTGTTTCACGGTCTGTATCTGTACTCCGATCTATGTTGACCAATGTTAACCAATTAAATTGTACAGCCCTAAAGAGGAGTTTGACTCCATAGGCAGCCAGAAAATGTTAAAAAAAAAATAAAAAATGTTAAAAAAAACTTAATTTTTGCCTCGTCTTTTCATCGAGGGTGTAACCACTTAGGAATTTCGTGTCAGCTGGATTACGGATTACCAGCGGATAACATACGGATTACATCATTTTTTTTTCTTGGATTACCTTTTTATCAAGCAGGATTACCCCGCATTGCCAGTTTGCTGTCAGCCGGATTAGCGAAGTCGTTACCCCCTTGCTTTCCGACGTTGATTTTCCTTGGGTTGATGCTGGACGTGGGCCGTCCACCTTATCGGCACCGTACTCCGTGACATCGCCCAGCGCCCAGGGGCTGATGCAAAATCAAACTCATCCTCACATTCGTGTCATGCAACAGGACAGAAAAAAATACGATTTCAAGAAATCCTAGGAGTCACGAAGTCAATTTGATTCTTGTGTAAGAGTGTGGAGAAAGAAAAGAAGTGGTGTTGCGAAGTTGTGGCTCAGGGGACTACCAATGGCAGTGGTACCAATGTGGTCGATGTGCCACCCGTCGAAATTTAAACTTGACAAAATAGAAATCAAAATGCTGGTAAATTCAAAAAATTCCAATGCTAATGTATTCCACAGTTCTGACAATGGAACATCTTTAAAGTCCATCATTATTAAATGTCTGGCAGAAAGAAAGCAGTAAATAATTTTCACGGGTTGGCAACTAGTTTCTCGGCGTCTGCGCCCTTGCGAAATCGCGAAGCTGAAAGCACCAGCAGTCGCGCATTAAAACTGCCCATCCATTGTTGCTGACGTTGAATAGACTATTCTAGTCGTGGCTGAGTGAAGAACAAGAAGAATCACAAAAGTGTACTTTTTTGCACTTTTACTTCAAATGCTTAAGTCCCCTTGCTTGGTAGAAGTTAATTCAATTATTTTCTAGTAAATGCAACATATTTCATCAAATATATTCACTTTAAATGCCCTAAACAGCGTCTTTTGTGATTCTTCTTGTTCTTCACTCAGCCACGACTAGAATAGTCTATTGTTTGGCTTGTTTCAAAAGGCTATGGTTCTCTAGTCATGTTTTCTTCAATTCTGTGTAATAGTTCTCCCTTACAACGTATCAACACCACGACGGTTGGTTTGACAAACTTCATAAACTCGGGAGGGATGGTTTCGAAACGCGGGTGAGTCTTGTTCGAGGAACATGAGCACTGCAAGTCGCGAGGTGGAGCGAAGTGGTCCTAGTGCTAACTGAATCACAACAACAACAAAATTGTTTTATTGACAGAAAAAAAGGAATATTTGAGAAACTGTATGCCAGAAAAAAAGAACTTTTGTTTTGCTAATTTTCTGTGAATATTTTTTTAGAAAGTCATCACACAAAAATTGAAAATTTGTTTTATATGAATTTTCATAAGCAGGAAACAAAGAAAAAACAAGAAAGAGAGCATAATTAATACAGGTTTCAAATGCTACAGTTGGTTAAACTGTTAACAGGTTGCAAACCTACTGCGCATGTCCAAAAACACTCCAATCAAGAAGTATTATTGGATAGTTCTACCCGAAAAACTGCGTTCGAACCGACACCAATTCTATTGTTGCATCTTGTCTACCTGCAGTCAAAGAAATTTTTCATTTCGAACGTGCTGATTTCAGCTTTTGGAGTAAGCTGTACAGACCCAAAAAGAAGCTCGGCTATTGGTCCGCCCCGGCTCGGCTCCCCCCACTCCCTTTTTTTTCCTTTGACGAGTCGAGTTTTGCCATGGAAACGGCGATTTTGACAGCAAATTTCTCAAAATTGGCCACCAACTTTTTAACCAGATTTCAGCATGAGAATCAGCGTTCAAAGTTCTACAAGTCTGCAAAGTCTCATTAAAATCGTAAAGAAAATTTCCGAAATGCATAAAGGGCCACACAAATTGAATCTCGGGCCGGCTGAATCCTGCGTATACTATAAGGCTACTTCGTGCCTAAAAAAATCCTAGCCTGAATAGCCATTCTGAACGGTTTACAAATTTGATTGTTTCTGTGCTGTTACCCTTCGCCAGTGAAAAGTCATTTCACAGTGACAAGAAGGAAAGGCTGAGTTCGATTTCGAGACAGTGCCCAAAACACGGTGTTGTCTGAGTCTTCTGAGCGTGCGTTGTGGTTGCGACGCCACAGGGTAGGCAGCCGGCTGCATGGACAGGCTAGGGGTAGGTTGGGTAAGAAAA